TTGGTCATTGGTCATTGGTCATTAGTCATTGGTCATTGTTCATTAGTCATTGGTCGTTGGTCATTGGTCATTGGTCATTGGTCGTTGGTCATTGGTCATTGGTCGTTGGTCATTGGTCATTAGTCATTAGTCATTGGTCATTGGTCATTGGTCATTGGTCATTGGTCATTGGTCATTGTTCATTAGTCATTAGTCATTGGTCATTGGTCATTAGTCATTAGTCATTGGTCATTGGTCATTGGTCATTAGTCATTAGTCAATGTCTTTGCCTATCATGATTACATTTATAATCATTATCATTATCATAGCAATTGCCATTACCCACATTTTTGTTAACTATTAGAAAATCTTTATTTATAATTTCGATTTATTCCAGGGGTATCAGGTAGTAGAGCTCTGGCACTGCTCCAACTTCCGGGTCCAGGAGTGCTCCGCTCCGGAAGCTGCCGTCGCGCGCCAGTCCGAATTGCCTGAGCAGCTTCTTCAGGTAGCGCTTGGGTATGCGCACCAGCTGGCGCTTAATGATGCGCTGCACCCTCTTCCAGGGGCGACCGATGCCGCGATCGTCGTCGTCGTAGTCGGACGCCAGGTTTAGCTGCTGCATGAGCTGCTGCAGCTGCGACTCGCTCAGCTGACTCAGATCCAGCTCCGGCTCCTGCTCCTGCTCCAGCTGATCATCGTCGACAAACGCCTGGCCGCCGGCAGTCGCAGTGCTGCGCAGTCGTAGCAGCTTCTGTGCGCCGCAGACGCAGCGCGTCTCGCTGGACCGCACGCCCAGCACGAGCAGCCAGAGCCCAAAGAACCAGAGCGAGGTACAGCGCATGTTGAGCTCCATTGTCCGATGGCAGCACACGCATGGGGCTTAAATAGCCGAGCGCCCCAGGGCGCCAGTGCTGGAGGCTGGAGGCTGGAGGCTGGCTGAAGAGGCCTCGATATATGGAATTCGAATTGAATGGAAATGTGGGTCAAGTACTATTCGAAAGATTTCATTTATTCTGTTTTGGCCAAAAGAAGAAGTGAGGCTTCAATTAAACATTAGCTACAATAAATTAGAAAAAAAAAAATTGTTGTTTGTCGTGGTTTTCGATCGTTGGGGAGCGTTGGCGTAGCTCGACTCTGGTCCGCTCTCTTCGGCGACTCCCCCTCCCTCTCTCACGCACTGTATCTTCCGCTCTCTCTCTCTCTCTCTCTCTCTCTCTCTCTGTCTGTGTCTCCTGCTTAGGCAAGTGGAAGACGTGGGCGCTTGTTCTTGTTCTTGCCCTTCTTGTTCTTGTTCTTGCCACCGCGACGACGATTGTTGAAGCGCTTGTTCTTGTTCTGGTAACGCTTCCTGATCACGCGACGCCTGTTGGGCCTGTTCTTGGTGTTGATCATGACCTTCTGGCCGTTCTTGAAGTAGCGACGGTAGCGGGGCGGAATACGCACGCTGATCATCTGATTCTGGCCGCGGCGGCCGCCCTTGCGGCGCAAGTTGATGCGATTGCTCTGGCTGGCCTTGCTCTCGGTGGCGCCGGCGTCCGATTGATCGTTATCGGTGAACACCTCGTACTCCTGGGCGCCCGCTGCGATGGCCGCCTGCAGGGCCTGTTCGTCGATCAGCTCCGCATTGGCGGCCATGGCCACCGGCTGGGCCTCCTCATCGCCGGCATCGGCCTCGGCCTGATCGTCGGCCTGCTGATCGTAATACTGTCGGGGTGCGGGCGAGGTGGGCGATGTGGGCGACGTGGGCGATGTGGGCGAGGTGTCGATGGTGCCCGTGGCCGAGGGTAGGGTGCCAGTGCTGGTCAGCGTGGTAACGGGGCTGGTGGGCGCGCTGCCAGTGCCGCCTCCAGTGATAATGATGGGAATCACCGGCTGCTGGTTGCTGCTGAACATGTTCTTGAACATGAGGAACTTGCGCAGGAAGAGGCGCCCGCTGGAGGGATCTTTGCTGTTGGCTGCCGTGCTCCCAGCTGCGCCAGCAATACCGACACCGGCACCGGCACCCGCAGCACCGAGGCTTAGCTTATCCTTGTCGGCGCCCTGGTCGAGAGCCAGGGCCGCCACACCGGCGTCGCTCGAACGGGCCAGGGCCGGCTCATTGAAGTAGGAGCCGCGGCGAGCCTTCACCACAAGCGAGGGCTTCTCGGCCTGAGCCGTCAGGCAGAGCAGGCTGGCCAATAGCAGCAAGGATGCGACTGGATGCTTCATCGTTGCAGTTGTTGTCGAAACTACTCAGCGATTGAGAACTTTTCGAACAGATACGGATTGAGTTACGGTCTGCGGTAGTGCCCAATTCGGAGTCGTGTGCTCGCACTGATTGGTAATCAATGTTTGATACATTATCGCTGAAATTGAATGCCTTTTATACCCGCATTGCCATCAATACCTATGCAAATGCCGATTGCCAATAATCCATGGCTAACTGTAAATTTGGTCAGGGCACCGCACATGTATGTGTACTTGTGCCTCTGCCTATCCAGAAATGTTCACAATTCACCACAATTGAATTGAATTGAATTTTTCGACCCTGTCGAAAAGCGCTTGCAGCTATTTGAGCATGCCACGGCCATGGCCAACGGCCAACGGCAAATAGCCAAATAGTTCTTCACCGTCATCAGCGCGACGCGTTCTGCTTATCATCTCTCGGCTGGCCCGCTACGATCCCAGTCGAGCGTTCAAGCATTGAGCCGTTGCCTCGCCAGCTTTTGCTGCTTTCTATGCGCGTTTCGCCCTCCCCAATTACAATTGCGTTGCCCTTTGCCGTCAGCCCCTCCCCCCTTTCCCAGCGATGCCCCGCCGGCAGCTCCATTGTCGACTGTCATCGCACTGGCAGCTTAGAGCCAGCCCGATTCAGTGGCACGGCTCAAAAAAGTGAAAACCAATTCAATTGTGCGAGCATCGAAACTGAGTTTCTAATTAGAGGCAAACGGTGCCGCGGGGCAGCTACAGTTCCCTATATGCCTATGCCAGTTCGAGGTGCTCCATTCGCGATGGAGCAGAGGGAAGACGTGAGAGCGGCATGCAGACTGCAGGGACTTGGGACCAAAGAAATGTCCTGCACGACTTTAGATATATACAAGACTCACGGGAGGAAAGAGAACTGAAATAGGTGAAAGGAATCGAGATAGTCCTAATGGATTCTCAATGGTATCGAGTCAAGCTCAGATTACAATTATCTCTCAAGCTCAGATTGACAAACAGACTTTGGACAAAAGATAAAATTGTCAAGTTGTAGAGCTACCTAATGCAGAGATCAGTTTGCTCTCTGCCTTTCTCTCTCGCTCTTACTCTCAGTCTCTCTTTCTCTCTCTCTCTCTCTCTTTCTCTTCTTGTCTTTATCAAATGCTTCACTTATTAACTCGAGCATAACCAGAAAACACACTGACTAACTAAGATACGCTCTAATTTTGGTTTCTTTTGCAATTTTCAATGCCCTCCTCGCCGTCTCTCTTGTTTATAGACTAACTTAGTTCTCTCTCAATGTCTCAATCTGTCTCTATTTCGTACTGCTCTCTCTTTTTTTGTCTCTCTCTCTCTCTTTCTCTATCTCTCTTTCTCTCTCTCTCTCATAGTTTCTCCCTAGCCTATCATTTTTTTAGGCTCGTTCTTCTCTTCTCTCATTTTCAAGCTTTCTTACTCGACATTTCCGTTTCCTTCTCTCTCTCCTATCTCCTCCTATATCTCACTCTCTACCTCTCTCTCTTTCTCTCTCTCTTTCTCGCTCACTCTCTCACTCTAACTCCAACACTCTCAGTAATCGCTCGATTGAGCTCAGTGAGCTCAGCTCACTCTCCTCCTTTCCGAATTTTCTTATGCTCTTTCTCTTCAGCTTCCATTTTCTTCTGTTCTCTGCATTTTTAACTCGCTCTTGTGCTTGATCCTTGACTTTGCTTTGTATAGAGACCCAAGTTCACTCTCCCATTCTCCGATTTTCTTCCTTTCAATCTTCCTCTCTCTGAAGATCGTTCTCATCGTACCTCTCTCATATATGATGATTTTGCTGTCCTCCCTTCACTTTGCACTGCCTCCCCCTTGTCGTTCTTCCCCTCTGGTCTATAAGTTCATGTTGTCAATCATTATATGCAATTATTATCGATTTATTTAAAAAAAAATTGTTCGTTCATAGTGGGCTGGTCAATTGAGTGGGCGATCTAATTGCGACGACGGTTCCTCCTCAGGCGACGACGGGCGTTGCGGTGGCGATTTTGGAGGCGGCGGCGAATATTGCGGTTCCTGATGCTGGAGCGACGACGCTGGTTCTTGTTGCGGCGACGCTGCTGCCGGCGGGCGCGCTGAGCACGGCGGATATTCTTCATGTTCTGGCGACGAAGGACCTCGATGCGTTTGCGCAGCTCCTTGTTCTCCTCGGCCTGGCGGCGCATCTCGTACTCCTGGAGGGTCAGGGCCTGGCCGGGACGGCTGCTGCTGCCGCGACGGAACAGGCTAAGCCCGTTGACGTTAGCCACGTCGTCGTCCTCGTCCTCGTCATTGACCGCATTATCATCGTCATCGTTGTCCGCGAACTGATCGTCGGCACCCTCATCATCGTCGTCATTGTACCCACGGGCCGAAGAGGTTATTGGGCTGGTTGTCTCGGTCGAAGAGCCCGTTATCGTTGAGGGTGATGGAATGATCTCTGTTGTCGTCAAGGTATCTGGGGCGCAGCCGCCGGTACCGCTACCGCCACCGCTACTGCCGCCCTTCCAGGCCAACAGCTGGGCGAGTGAGCGAGCCTCAACGTTGCGGTCGGCGTTGCGCTTATACAGCCGGTAGCGCTGGCCCACCACCTCTTCATCATCCTCGCGCAGTCCAACTGCAAGACATACCGAGGATTAGCTAACCCCGCTCTCTCTCTCCCTCTCTCTCTCTCACTCATATTGATAACTCACCTGCTGCGCTGGCCAAAACTGCTGCAGACAGCAGCAGAAGTGCAAGTGCCACGAATCTCATGATGATTAGTTCGAGCTAAGATAGGTAGGAATGGGTGCGTGTAGATGCTGGGATGCTGCTGCTTATCCTGGTGAACTGTTGCCTCTGCTTGCTGCTTGCCTAAGGCAATAGTGCTGCTTGACTGTGCCAATGTCAATCGCTTGACAGGGTTATATACCCGGGGCCAAGCTCCAGTTGCCAACAACAAGTAGAACGGCAGCTGGATCAGCGCCTCTGCTAACAGTTCTCATTATCATTTTAGCATATTTGCAAAAATTCGCATAAATTTTTGTTCTTCTGTTGCGAATCGATCCGCTCGCCCCGCCGACCGTACGCGCCCCGAACGGCTAAATTCTATTCGCGAATGAACCAGATTGACCCAACGACAAAGTTCGCAATCAATATCAGTGGAGCGGACGTCAAAGCGAACTCTCGCCTCGCACAATACTTAGTTAACAAATAGATCATCACTTTTCCCCAAATGTATGCACAAGCTAATGGCTGGCGAATAATCAAACGTCAATCGTATTCCGACAGCTTTTGCGCTGTAAAGTTGATAAGAGAGCACAGGCTACAGTTTATTGATGTGTAATATGTAAGTCTGCCTAGTGTAATTGGAGTATAGAGTGTTCCCATATATGATCGTACATTGACTAGTTACACTGAAGCACTTTTTGCTCTGGCTTTTCAGTATATCCCCAGTCCTAGTCAAGCATGATTATATAAGATCATTGAACTCAGAGATCGAAGTCATTTTTATCGATCTCTTCTGCTCTTGTTTCATATTTACATATTCATTATATAGACCTATATATATTTCTTATATGTTCGATAAAATCTTTACATTACATGGGAAGCTTCCCTAGATTGTGTCCCATTCAGCAGTTCCATAAAGTCGTTAAGCATTAAGTTGCCGTCGGACGACAATTTCTATCTTGTTCTATAGTAGCTCTACTTGCTCTAGCTCAGCTCAAACTGCTCTTGGACGAAGGTTCCACTCAAACAAAATCTGCTGCAGGCGCATGAACTCGAGCCAGAAATTTCAATCTGTTGTTAGTTAGACTGATGCATCTACGGCTAACTCTACTCTCTGCTCTATTACGATTGATCCATCGACTTTGAAGATCAACTCAAAGATGTTCTCTTTCAGTCTCACAAGCTGCCAAGTTCTATCTGTTGGCATAACAACTCTGCGTAGATATTTTTCATTTGCTATAGTTCTCATTATGAAGCTACTCTGGGACGATTGATTCATGGACTTTGGGGATCAATTCAAAGGGTTTCTCATTCAGTTTGAGAAGTACTCAAGTTCTGATTGTTGCCATAGTAACTCTGCTTAGCTATTTCCCATACTCTGAGATCCATGGACTTTGGAGATCGCTTCAACTTCAGTCGACCAAGCTCCAAGTTCAAGCTGTAAGTATTATTATACTCTGCCAAGCTACGGCTAAGAGTATATCTTTCCCTCGTGATTTAGTCCCCATTAAAAAGCCGCTCTAGGACGATAAATCCATCGATTTTGACAATCAACTCAAAGGGAACTCTACTTCAGTTTCACAAGCTCCAAAGTTGTAGCTGGTACTGTAATAACTCCACTATGCGTTTGCTATAGTCCTCATTATAGAGCTACTCTAGGACTATCGATCCATAAACTTTGGAGATTAACTCAACTTTAGCTTCCAAGTTGGCCCCAGCAAAAGAAATGAAACTCTTCAAATATATTGTTTGCTATGTAATGTCAAGAATGGTTTTTCACAAAGATCGTTGCCCTGTTTCCATCTAGTTTGGGGTTTCTATGTACGGATGCGCACGATGCGCCTGTTCCTGTTGCCCTTGCTGTTCCTGTTCCTGTTGGCCTGGAGGAAGCGCTGGATCAAGCGAATGTTGCGACGATTGTTGCGCTTGCGGCGCTGCTGCTGCTGGCGCCTGCGCAGGCGCTGCTGCTGCTGGCGGCGCTTCTGGCGGCGGCGCTGCTTCGCCTGCTGCTGGCGGCGGCGCATCTGCATCTGCTGCATGCGCTTGAACTGCTTGCGCTGGCGCACCAGAGCCTCTTCCTGGCTGCGCTGGTACACGGCGTGACCATCGAAGCCGGCCACATCGTTGGCATCGTTCTCATCCTCGTCATCGTCATCGTATGCCACCCGGTAGTTCTGCTCCCCGTCGTCAGCCTCGAGGTCGTCATCGTCGCTGCCATCGTCGTTGAAGCGGGCCGTTGTTGGCACCGTCGGAGTCGTGGTGGTCGTCGAGGAGCCCGTAGTGGTGGTTGGAGAAGTCGATATGGTGGTGGTGGTGCTTGTGGGCAGCTCGGATCCGTTGCCGTTGCCGTTGCTTCCATTGTTGGATTGGCCGAGCGCCGCGCTCAGCACAGCCGCCAGCTTGGTGGGATTGAGGCGACCCTCGGCGGGCAGATCGTAATCGTGGCGCTGGCGCCGGTACAGCTGATAGTGCTCGCCGCGCCTCTCCTGCTGCGGCTTGGCTGTAATAGAGTGTAGGTGTAAGTGTATGTGTGTGCGGGGGACCCTGGCCCTAGCAGCGGCTCGACTTACCGCTAGCCTGCAGCGCTACGGCTGCCAGGCAGGCAACGACTAGTAAACCCCTCATCAAATGCATGTCCTCTGGCAAGGTATATCTCTTTGGATTTGTCAGTAAATCTCTCTTGGATGCGTATCGCTGCCTGACTGACTTACAACGGCCATCTCTGGCATATTTATATGCCCACACTTTTACAACTCGGCCCTATCCACTGGGCCTACAACTTACATTGCCAAAAACAAAACACAAATAATAATAACGATAAATAAATTAATGTAAAAGAAAAAACTCGATCAGATTAGCTCAGTTGAGAGCAGAGCAGAGCAACAGAAATTGGGGTTACGTTAGGGCCAAGCCAACTGTCGCCAAGCCCTGCGCGATCGCTAGTTGTAAAACATTTAGCATAATCCCATAAATTACGCAAATGTTGACCCGACACAAGAACTAGCTAACCCCAGCCTCAGCCTCGGTCCACGATCCCAAACATTTGCATAGCAGTAGCTGTAGGAATAGCTGTATCTGCGAATCGAGATTGACGATGCCCATTAGCATATTCATTGGCCAGATGCTTTTGTTCTCGGCCCAACAGATATTGTGGCCTCTGATCTCTGTCATCGCCAAAGGGCGAAAGTGTAAGCAGAGTCAATGAACTGTTGCGATCGCCATTTGCCTAGGCTGACAATTGCAATTTATGCAGACGACTTCAAGTGCAGCGCGGATCAGTGAAGCTCAATGGTGGATGCGTAGATCAGTCAACGGGAGAATGAATCAAGGCAGACAGAGTTTGGATAAGGGAATGTTTAAGGCATGTGGAAATATAAAGGGAGATTGTGCAGATGGCGGAGGGAAAGCCCACGATCATTAGCTTAAAGGGAAAGTAGACTGTGGAAGGGAAAGAACAATTTCATTTGGGAATATTTCTCTTTGCCACGATCAGCTACGATCATTAGCTAGCAGGAAACTTGAAGGGAATGCAAGAGTGAGAGTTGCTTAAAAATGGATTGGATAATGGAGCTTGGCAATGTTTAGCCTGAACACGATCAGCTACGATCATTAGCTTGCAGATTACGATAAAGCTAGAAGGAAGCTTAAGAGGAATTTTAGACCAGTAGCTGCTTAGAAATGGAAGGAAAGATAGAGCCTAGACACGATTGGCTCACGATCATCCACGTCTAATGATTTGTAGTGCTTGGAAATGGAAGGGAATATAGAGCTTGGATATGATCAGCTCACGACCAGCTGCGTCTAATGATTTGTAGTGCTTGGAAATGAAAGGGAATATAGAGCTTGGATATGATCAGCTCACGATCAGCTACGATCATCCACGTCAAATTATTTGTAGTGCTTGGAAATGGAAGGAAATATATAGCTAAGATATGATCAGCTCACGATCAGCTAGGGTGATCAGCAGGAAGTCGCTCTGAATGTGGATCGCTGGGCGCGCTGATTGCGGATCGTTGGCAGCTCCTCGGCTTTGCTCCATGAATAACGTGAGTAATTGTTGAAGGAAAAAAAAATGAATTTATTTGAGGCGCTCTTTGGCGGCCATTGCGTTTGCTCGTTACAGGGATTCGTCAGGTCAGGTGCGTGAGGATTCGTGCGGTGGAGCCTAGACAACGACGGGTCTCAGGCTGCGACCGCGACCGCGACGACGGCGCAGCAGCATCTGCAGGCGGCGACGGGACATGCGCTGGCGGCGGCGCTGGCGCTGCGCCTGGAGGCGGCGACGCTGCTCCAGGCTGTTGCGGCGGCGACGCTGGCGCTGGCTCCTGGTCTTGTTCCTGTTGCGACGATTGCGCTTGGCGGCGCGACGGCGATTCTGCTGCTGGATGCGGCGCACGCGCTGGCTGTGGCGGCGCTGCGAGAGGCGCTGGCGACGGACCAGCTCGCGGATGCGCTGATTGTGCTCGCGCTGCAGCCGGTTCACGCGGCGGCGATTGCGCTGCTCCAGCTGGTACTGGCGCCACTGCTGCTCCGAGGGCCGGCGCACATAGGCGGGCAGGCCATCGGCGACGGCCACAGCAGCGCCGGCTGTGGGCTTGTCCACGACACCGGCTCCGGCGGCCAGCATATAGAAGTCACCGTCCTCATCATCGTCGTCGCCCTCATCATCGTCGTCGTTGAGGAGGCTGGCGTCGTCGTCGTCGTCGTCGAGGTCGTCGTTGTAGGCGCGCGCATGGCTGTCCTCTTCATCGTCGGCCACCTCCACGGGACTGTCGCCGAAGGCACGGTACTGCACCGTGGTCGTTGGCGTCGTCGGCGATGTGCTGGTGGGCGAGGTTGATGTTGGCGAGGTTGGTGATTCCAGTAGGCCCGTGGTGGTGGGCGTTGTTGGCGATGTCAATGTGACGGTGGTGTAGGCCTCTGTGGTGGTGGTAGAGCTGCCCTTCAAGGAGCTCAGCTTGTTCAGCATGGACGAGGTGAAGCGGCCCTCGGGCACAGCCTGATCGGCACGGCTGCCCGAGCGCAGACCCAAGCGGTAGTTGCCACCGTTACGCTGACCTGCACAGAGAAATACCACGGAGAAAAGGGCGAGAGCTTAGCGGGTGCGTCCACTTCTACATGACCCATGCTTGGCACTTACCGAACACCTCTGGCGGCGACAGCAGGGCGCATAGCGCCAGCGCCACTAACAGCTGTGGCAGGTAGTGCATGATTGGAGCTAGTCAGTCGGGAGGAGGTGGCTGTAATCGAGAATTCCTTGCAGGCTGGGGACTGAGAGTCTTGGAGACTGAAAGACTGGAAGACTGGGCGCTTGTTGGCTCTGAGCTGACACTCGCCACTGACTGACTCCCAGAGAGGTGCTCGACGATTATATAGCCAACCGCTAAAGATTCTGGACGGGATGGCTTGATGAATTAGTATAATACCCCAGGTACCCCTAGCCCCGGGGCACTACCCGCCTGCCGTCGAACCGTCTCGGTATTGCCCTGCTACACAGCGCAATTAATCTCATCATCGCCTCGGGCAGGTCAAAGTGAAGAGGCCAATGGTAGCCCTGTTGCCGTTTTTGGCATTAACTATCATGCTAATGCTAATTTACGGCACAGCCACTCAGAACTGTGGACTCCCTCTGCGACAGCGACTAGCGTCTAATATGATTGATTATCGGTTTTTGTATTTGAACTCTTAACTGTGCCAAGCGACGACCCGACAAACAGTGCACGAAATGAAATTCTTTGCTCCGACTGAGAGCCAAAATAGTTTTCCAATTTGTTCTTTTTTTTTTATTTTACTTCATTTCTTTAAAATTAAATTCAATTTTTGTTGTTGTTGCTGGTTGCGTGTATTGCTCTAGCTCTTCGACGGGGAATCGGTGCAGTTTCCGCTGCTTTTCCAATCACTTTTGCCAATCTCGCTTTGCAATTATCAATTTGTTCTCATAATCAGGTGCTTTTGCTAACCAGCCAAATTCGCAGTTGGTAGACAGATTTTGAATGGGGCTTATAATGAATATAAATTGGCATTGATATGGGATTGATTGGAGCAGCAGAGTGAGCCATGGGATGTGGACAGACAAGGCGTGAAACTCAATCAATAATGAAAGCCAAACACGCTGGCATTCCTATTCCTATTCTAATTTCAGCTACAACTGTTGTCAAGAGCTGAAAAGTCCTGTGCGAAGAAGAAGCAGCTCGGAGAACGACTACATATTTATAGAGGTCCCCAAACTAGTTCCGAATTGAGACAACAAACTTTTGCTTGTTATTCTGTGGCCCAATCTATTGTATAACTAACTTATCTAACTTCTCTAACCATATATTTTCCCTTAATTGGGTGCAATAAGCGAATTTGATTACAGACACTGTAAATAGCAATTGTTTACTCCCAGCTATATCTAAAGACAGTTTTCCCTATACTTTCTATAATGAGCACAAATTATATGGGTGGGTATTTCGCTCTTCGTGCAAACTAAAGGCAAGGTCTAGAGGAGTCTACTCTTGGCAAGGCAAGGCAAGGATTAGAGAGTGTAATCCTCTTAGCATGCTCCTCAATAGCTTGATTGCAAAGCAATTTTGATAGTTTTCCAGGCTGCTTAGCGCTTTGAGTGAAGTTCCTTTAGTTCTGCCTAGAGGCAAGGCCTGGAGGGGTCTACTGTATGGTAGGCAAGCTCTAGAAGGAAGGACACTAGTCCTCGATAGCTTGCTTACCAAGTAATTTTGATGGTTTTCCAAGTCCAAGTTCCTTTAGTTCTGCCTATAGGCGAAATGTAGAGGGACCTACTCTAGGTAAGGCATGGTCGAGACGGTCCTTTTACACTACTCCTCGATAGCTTGATTACCAAGTAATTTTGATAGTTTTCCAGGCTGCTAAGGTGTAGCGCTTTCAGTCCAAGTTCCTTTAGTTCTACCTAGGGAGGGGTCTACTGTATAGAAGGCAAGGTCTAAAGGGCGCTATCCCTTTAGTACACTCTCTGATGATGGTGAAGATGATTATGAGCTGGATTTCTAAGTAGTTTTGATTGTTCTCCAGTCTGTTTACTTCGTTTAGCCTAAGAAGTTTACTCTATGAAAAGTAAAGCTTAGAATTTACTCCTTGATAGGTTGATAAGCAAGTAATCTGAAAAGTTTTTCAGCCGGCTTAGGTGTCCACTGTTAAGCGTGTGTAGTTTGACCCAAGGGCAAACTATATAGGAGACTTATCTATAAAAGGCAAAGACTGAAAGATCTACTGTTCGATAGATAAAGTTAATATTCTAGTTTTCTTAGAGTAGAGCTCAATGGCCTCTCAGCTTTTTGTTCCATATTTGTAATAGAGCTTCACCACATTGAAGCTAATTGTAGATAGTTGTATCAGATTGCAATATCGATCTACTTATGCATGCCTAAGATATCCATAGACCCTTCATTAGCAATCATTTCGATGATCAGGCCGGAGACTGCATAAGCTCCAATCTCAAGGCAGTCAAAGATCTGAAAGCTCTCGAATCGATATGCATACACAGTTAGTTTCAAACGTTTAAGGCTACAGTTAGCACAGTTTGTATATACATGATCTTTAGACATGCCAAACAGAAACATTCCCATAGCCCAGAGAACATAGCGCCCTTCTTTCTGCTTAGCCCACTAAAGGAGTCAACTTACTATGCCAATTCTAAGTGTATTACATTCTAGATAATGTTAATATAGACATGAACTAAAAATGAATAATTTATGATAACTGTAAAAGCAGTCTTCCACATGATTCAATCGAGGCTTGGCTCGCTCAACATTCGCGATCATTGCGCATACGTAACGTGACCGCCAGCTGCGCTAAGATTTGGGTCAAATCAACCTGAAGCGCTGCTGCGAAGCTAAAAACCAACAACAAATAAATCATAATAAATAAAGTTAAAAAAAAAAAAACGAGAGAAAAAGCCGCAGGCAATTAAAGCAGATTTGAAGGCATTTATTAAAATGAGCCAAGCAACGAGAATCAAACGAGAATTCCAGCTAATGAATAGACCTAAATAAAAGAAGAGGCAAGAGAGCGCTGAAAGATTTCTGACCCAAGAATATATTGCGATATTTCAATTGGGAATAAATTGGGAATATATAAACTGGGCTAGGGAAGAAAAGAAGGGATATTGAGGAGACATTTGGGAAAGGGAAGAAAAGAAGGGATATTAGAGAGACATTTGGGAAAGGATATATGTTTGAGCTGAGCTGAGGAAGAATATGAAAGGAAAGAAAAGAAGTTAAGGAAGAACATTAAGTTTTTATTATTAATATTAATATTTTATTTTTAATTTGTATTTTATTTGTTCATTTGAGAATCAATTTCAAGGATTATTATTATTATTTTGTTTTTTATTTTTATTTTCTTTTTTCTTTTATGAATTGATTAAAAGGATTATTATTTTTATTTAATTTTTTTTTTTTATTTTGTGAATCGATTTCAAGGATGTAAGCAGGGAATTCAGTAAAGCAAATTCATATATGAGGAAAGCTAAGGAAAGGAATTCAGGAAAAAAAAAGCAACTCAGTTCTCATTTGTTTTCATATCACATGTTTATTGTTTTCGCATCGTTTTCATAGGGGTCACAAGTGCTGAGGGTCCTGGGATGGGGCTCTTAACTATAATACTAGAGAGTTGCTGTGGGCTGTGGGTCGCTTGGGCTTGGGATTAGCCCTGGAGGGCGACGCGACGACGCTGGTTGCCCCGTCGCCGGTTGCCGCCGGGCCGGATGACGCGGACGTTGCGACGGTTGCCGCGACGGCGACGGCCGCCGGCGCGACGGCGGACTGGACGGCCGCCGCGACGGCGACGCCGGACATTGCGGCGTCCGGCGTTCTTGCGGCGGCGCACAATGACGCGATTGGCGCGCTCCTCGCCGACGCTCGAGTCGCTGGCCGAGCGCTCCATCAGGGCGACGACGGCGCCATCGGGAATGGCGTCGAGGGCGGCGCGCGGCACCAGGAGGGCCGCCTTGCCGGTTTTCTCGTCGACAACGCTCTGGCCCTCGATCTCGATGATGCCGTCGGGCACCATGATGGCGCCGGCCTGGTCCCTGGCCACCATCATCTGCGTGGGCTTGGCGTTCTTCAGCAGCTGCTGGCCGCTGACGCCGGAGGCCTTGCGGCCCGCACTGGGCTTGGCCAGCAGCACGGGCAGCTGGGCGTCCTCGTCGTCCTCGGCGTCCTGCTCGTCGTCCTCGTCGTTGAGCAGCACCACCTGGCCGTTGCGTGCGAAGCCGCGCTGCACCGGCAGCACATCAACATTGTCATCATCATCATCATCATCATCCATCATCTGATCATCATCGTCGTCATCGTCGTCGGCAAAGTTGTGCTGCAGCCGTCGCAGCGGCAGGCTGCTGCTGCCCTCATCGGCATCGTCGTCATCATCGTCGTTCTCCAGCTCGTCGAGATCCTCAACGACCTCAAAGCCCTGCACCACGGCGCCGGCATTGGCGCGTCCCCGCGGCACGCTGAAGAACAGATATGGATGCTGCAGCTTCTGCTGCTGGCGCAATAGTTGGCGCTGCTGTAGGCGGGCCTCTGCAATGAGGAGGATGAGGCGGCTCAATTGTTAAATTGCTTGGCAGGTTGGGAGGTGGGTGTAGTTGGTGTAGTTGTCGCATCACTTACCCGGCAGGGCCATGGCCAGGGCCAGCAGGCAGCTGAGCACGAACAGGGCGCTTAGCTTCGACATGGTTGGGCTCGGGACTCCTGCTAACTGTGTAATCTGTGCGCTGCGCTGCTGCGTGTATTGTCCTACCTAATTGTAAGCAAAGTTCCAGAGAACTGTACAGAATCTCTGGACGTCGCCAGGTTTTTATGCAAAAAGTTACCGCAAACTCTGTCGGCTCGGCCACAAAAACAAACAACCAAAAATTAGAAAAAACAACCACAAAAGAAGAACAGACAACCCGAAAAAAAAGATCAACAAAAAAACAAATGAAAGCCAAGAACCATCTAAAGAATCATTCTAGGCATTCGCTCACATCGAGAAAACGAACAGAAATATGAAAGAAAAATAAAAATTCCATAAAAAATATCGAGTTGAAGAGAATCACAGATAGCTCTAGACATTGACATAATTACGCCCATGGAATGGCACCAGCTGAACCCGTAGCAGCATCCATATCGAATTCAAGTGCCGAAATCGGTAAAAAAAAAATCTAAAAAATGGCCAAATGCTGATCAAAGTTCAGTGACCGCAGCAGGAACAAAAGCCGCCTCGCTCAAGACCCGAAAGCCGAACTCAATTGACCGCAACGGCAGAAGAGCAAACGAAGAAGAAGAAGACGACGAAGAAGAAGACGAAGAAGAAGAACAAGAAAAGAAATAATAAGAGCCGACGAACTGCCAAAGTTGAACCTCGTTACGCTAATGCGAATAGAATCAAGAGAATCGTGAACCCAGCCAAGTCGGGGCAAGCCGAGCGAGGCGCTGCCCCATGTGCTCACTGTACAGTAGACCCAGTGGCGAGGCGGCCAGCGACGCATGCCAACTGCTCGGAGCTCGGCCTGGCCGCTCCATCATATACTCAAGTGCGACCTAGCCTAGGCCCAGTTCGATCTGAATTCACCCAGAGCCAGATTAGCTGGCGACGCGTGAGCGGGTATGCGTGGCATATGACACACGTTGCTCACACGCTTCTTGTACTGACTGAAATATTCTTTTTAGGCATGCGTAACGACTAGTAGATACCCTGTAATCAGAAAGAAATCGAGCGGGAGCAATTTAATAGGATTTAAAAGCTAATGGAAGGCACATGTCTTTTGGCTGAAATTCACATGTTGAACGTTTAAGTGACGACTAGTAGATACCCTGTAATCGAAAACTAATAGGGAAATAGTTGCATGTATTCCTTATAATAAGTTCGCCGTTAGAGCAGGCACACTATAGTGGGACATGCATGCCCCTGGGCTGAAATATACTCTTTTCCTACGAGCAACGACTAGTAGATACCCTATAGTCAGAGAGAAATCGAGAATGCAGCTGGTGCTGCTTAGTACTTGTTAAAATCTAATAGAATGCACATGTGTTTGCCATAAATACAAGTTTCTATCGTGTAAGCAAAGACTTGTAGATACCCTGTAATTAACAATCGAAGATAATATAGATGCATATATTTCTTCTAGTTAATTTGCCGTTAGATCAGCCTCACTTATGGGAGCTATGACTCTGCTCTGATATGTACTCCTTTACCACGAGTAAAGACTAGCAGATACCCTGTAATCAGACAGTAATCGGGAATGCAGCTGGAGCATTTGCGTGTGGTACACAATCTGATGAGATATGGATTGCGCTTGCATAAAATATATTTTTGTTCTACATAAATTGACTTGTGGATACCCTGTAATAGATAATCAAAGCGCATACAGCTCATTCTATGCATGGAGTCTGTCATTGAATCACTGTAACTTGTCATAAGTCGTATACTCTACGAGTCTCTGGCCTGAAACATATTGATGTTGCATTGTGGATGACTAGTAGATACCCTGTAGTTAGCAATCAAAGTGACTATGCATTGGAGCAAGTCTGTCGTTGTTCTATTCACACTCTAAGAGAATATGCATGACCCTTAGCTGAAATATACCTTTGTATGTATCAGCAACGACTATTAAATACCCTAGCAGATACTCTATAGATGACAATAAAATCTCTGAATAGAGCTGAATCTATATTTGTTGCTTCGATATGCCTGTCTCTTGTGTAAGACATCATTTTGCTGCATTGGCAACGACTAATAGATACCCTGTAGTTGAAAATCGAATAAAAATACCTATATCGCACAACCCAATGGAATATACATGTCTGTGCCCTGAAACAAGTCTTTAGATACCCTGTAAATACCAATTTATGCGCTTACTGGAAATGAAAGGAAGAGCAAAACTAATAGAGTAATTGAATAAGTTTATTCCTTTGATAAGAGCGCAGCACAGAGATCGCTTATAATGCCACTGGTAGCACTCGTAGATCGAGTCAATCCGCGATTGGCCTCAGGTATATTTGTACTTGTCTTCGAAAATATTGAAGGGCGATATGATGTGTAGCGCGACTATGACCTTCACCAGCTGGGTGGAGGATGCCAGGAAGGTGGCGAGCAGTACCCAGCCCTTGAAGCACGTGATGGTCCGATGGTCCCAGTTGCAGTGCATGAAGCCCGAGTTGAAGCTGAATATGAGCGACGTCATCAGCAGCACGAAGGAGAGCAGCCCGCAGATGCGATGGGCGAACAGCGCATGTATTTCGATCATCCGCGCCGAGGGATGACTGGCGAGATACAGGCCCGTGATGAGCGTGGCCAGCAGCAGGCAGCAGGTGGCCAGGCCGAAGATGCTGTGATTGGTGCCGAAATGCCTCTGCGTGTTGGCACGCATGTGCAAGATCTGCGCGCCGACGCCCACAAAGCCAATCAGGCCGCCGACCAGGCCGAAGGCCGCGTGCAGCGCCGGATGGCCCCAGAGGAACGCCTGGGTGACGAACAGCACCATGCCCACCGTGCAGTAGAAGGCGTGCGCCGCCGTTCGTGACAGCCGCAGCCGCGCGCACTTGTATGCGATGATCATCGTGACGAGAATCACAATCACGTTGCTGATGCCCTCGCAGACATCCTGCAGGAAGCTCGGCGGCAAGCCGGGCCAAGTGAAGCCCATCACCACCTCGCCCGTCGCATTCACCACCGTCTCGTTCACCACATCCGCCACGATGCGCTGGGGCGGGTCCGTTGTGTGTGGAAAGTGGAAGGGCATTTCGAGTGCGGATATCTACTCAACTCTATACACATTGGCATGTACACATATGTGTGTGTGTGTGTGTGTGTGTATGGGCAAGTGCATGGGCACACACATACAGAGACACATATATGTAGATGCGTATGTCTATATGCAATGGAGTGAACTCAAACTGTCTATGTATGTGTATGTATATATATTTAATGGTCAAGGCCTATAAATTTATATACATATACATGTGTGTATGTGTGTACTTATAGGAAACAGCAAACGTGTTGAGTATTCAATGTGAATGTAAGCAAGAGGCATGATATGAGAATGATCTCAAAAGATTTTTGTTAGATTTTGCTATGAATACTCGTTCAAGGAGATGTGCAGAGCTTGTTAGCTTTGTGCATAGACTCCCTGGATGTTCTAGAGCTACGTCTAAGGGGAGGAGGAATCGGGAATCAGTCCTTCGTTTCACTCCTATTGTCCACAAGTCTGCACTTATAATAATAAAGTACAAAGCCAAGCTAGGAAACTTACAATAATCTTATTTCGGGGTACTCATTGGAGATACTCATTAGGGTTACTCACAACAAAGCCTCTAGAGATGGCAAAAATTGTAGACAGCATCCCAGAACTAGTCAAAAGTTGCCTCAAGAGGCTTTTGGAATCAAGTCTCATCCAAGCAGTCTGGTTGAAGATCTAGGCATATGTATTTTAAGGATATGCACTAGGATAATACTTAGAACACCGCACCATCAAGGCCTACTGGATCGAGTCTTGCACACTTACATATATGGTCTATTGAATATCACCTTGATTACTACATCTGATAGTCAAACTTCTTCTGATCTTGTGAGGTTCAGGTTATACGCAAGATAACTTGGAAATATTCTCATATTGGGTGGGTAGACTTGATAGTTGATTTTTCGATTTAACTAGATGCATTTTTCTTGATCGCCTCAAAGACCTGTCGAGCTGTAAGCGCCTCTAACACTTATAGCTGTGTCTCATAACTCTATCATCTACTTTTGCGCGTGGATACCCTGAATACCTTACCTTTCACGCTGTCCATCAATGCAGAATTCTTTATAGACAAAATTAATAATCTTTGTTTGAACTGCTTCAAATTGGAGTCTGTATCTTATGAGTAAATATATAAATATGTATTTTCATTTTATAAAATGCTCATAAGAAAATGCTGTGAAGACATATGAGAACTGTCTTATATACACATTGCAGAGGAAGCTGAAGATTTTAGCAGGCAGTGCCTTAGCACTTTGATTATTCGCAGCTATTGTACTATAAATAAATGAATAATATATATATATATTTATCACATTATTCAAGCTCTGAATGTGTAAAAAATGGAGATTATAATACAAATTATATCTATCAAAAGGCTTTAAGCAGCGAAGGCTATAGATTGACCTATAATATGCTCTTTGAGGTGTGGCGCATATGCATACAGTAGAATCCGGCTATAACGGCACTCAGGGGACCGTCGTTATACGCGGTAGACGCTATAGCCGTGGGTTTATCCAGATAAATTTGTCTGGGGACCAAAATTTTCTTCGTAATAGCCATACAGACGCTATAAGCGGAGTCATTATAATCGACTTCCACTGTATAATACTTGAATTGTATTCGTTGATGTCTGAGGCTTGTGGAGCTTGAGCCCGACTAAGACTAAAATGCGATACACATATTCGTTTAGTCTTAAATCTCAGAAGTAGAGATTCATTCCCAAAGATGCGGGGCGTGGAGCATATGGATTTAAGATTGGTGTACTAAGAATTTCATTCTCGTTAAATGTTCTCAAGAGAATTGTCTGCTATTTCCAGACTTTCCTTCCAGCCCTTGCCTTTCCTTCCCTGTGAATTGATAATTAATTCAGCAGACAGACTACGAAATATTTGCAGATATAAGACTCCTATACAAACTCAATCTTATTAATATTACATATATTGTATGCCAATTCGGTTGCCCTAGAAATGAGACTGCAGATCTTGCAGCTCCATTGGCAAATCTCTTTAAATCAGATTCCATTTTTATATATCTTTATATCAGATTAGATATGCATGCCCATCGCAAGCACCTGCCCAGCAATCGACAATCTGGGTGGCAGTCTTCACAATGCTAGAGCTAACGACGAGTTGTAATAAGGGTCTAGTAACTGTGCTTCGAGCTCAATCGTAAAACTCCGCCAGAAGTTGCGAATGCCAAATGAATAGCAAAACAATTAAATTGACGAGGGAAAAACGAATAAAATGAAAAGAGCAAAAGAGATATGTTAATTTTGTGCACATTTATTATATCGGCGAAATCATTTAGATATTGTAAGCTGCTGCATTGTCCGCTTAAGGGGGCCACATATCATCCGAGTCGCAGGTGACAGCAACGGCATCTGCATGACAACAGAGTTGAAGAGAACTGCGAGCGAAATTAGCATAAAAATCTGAGAGAGAGAGAGAGAGAGGGGGGAGAGTGTGAGGAGAGAGCGAGAAAAGTTCAACGGTGTCAAATGTCAAAGCTGCAAAACACATGCCGTGAATGGTAATCGAAATGGATTGAAATGGACATCGAATGAGACGAGCCTAGACGGGCATCGGGCATCGGGCATCGGACATCGTCGTCGTGGCAATGCCTCATAAATTGATTCAGGTTTGGTATGGAGAAATCCGCATTGAACTTGGAGCAACGATTCGATTTGGACTGCTGTTGCCGGCTCTCGTTGGCTTGGCCAAGTTGAAAGTTCAATGCACGAGACACGGGCAAACAAAAGCAAGCCAAATGGCCCAACTTGTGCTGCTCTCCCTCTACCGTTCTCCCGCTCTCCACTTTGCAGCCCTCTTTAGCCCTGGCTCTATTCTTTTTATGGCTTGTTGTGTGGTTTGCACATAGAATGGAAATTAGATGTGAAATCAGGCAGCTAATTTGGCAGCAGCTAACAGCTAACAGCTAGCGGCCAACGGCCAATGGCCAACGGCCAGCGAGGGCCAAGAGTTGAACTTTAAGCAGATGCAAATTTGAAGAAATTCAAATGAAATTATGAATCTCTTTGCGATATTTACGGTTAGAGCCTAGCAGCTCGTTGAGCCTTTCTTATGCCGAGTTTTGGAATTTCTAATGGCGCATATATTTGATTTAGCCGGCATCGATCGCCACTTGCTGCCACTTAACTGATCATTCACCCCGCCAGCCGCGAGCCAGCATTAATTGCGGTGTCTTGGCCCTCGATGAACCCTGCCCCCCTCCCCCTTGGGGCGTTCAGTTGTCGTCGATTGTGTTGGGGGACCGGCTATCAGCCAACATTCAATTTGAGTCTTGCAACTGGCCGTGACGAATGATGCTGTCAACTGTGTCTTTGTCGCGCCACCAACAGCTCCAGCTACAGCTCGAGCTCCATCCAGTGCGAGAGTGCTCGCATGTTGCCCTAATAATGTCCCATTGATTGCTCCAACAATTTGCCGCACTTAGCATGATTATGCAAATTTTCAGCTGTACCTCAGTGAGAGCTCAGCAGAGCTACTACAAACCGGCCCCGGGCCATGTCCAACTCGAGTGCCAGGCGGCAGCTTCTCGTTCCATTTTCACATTATCATGCGCCAAGTGGGAGCCAGTGATTGAATGCTTCTCCGGCTAGTTGCCCCTGGGTGCTAAAGCTGAAATATATTGTTGTTATTGTTGTTCTATTTGCGTATCTCTCGCTATGTAAATGTATGTATGTTTGTCTGTCTCCCTCTCTCTCTCCCTCTCTGTCTGTGTGTGTGTTAAGTGCCGACATCAACACCGCAAGCGAGACCTTTGCCGTTGTCGAAGTCGCTGCCGAAGCCGTTGCTCTAAGTGGAAAGTGATTATCCCGTAATGGAAAGCCCCGAGAACAGCGCAATAAACATTTGCCGAATACAAATTGCTCAAGACTCATTTCCCAGTCAGATCAAAGCTCTCAGCTGAGATCTTAATTGCGGCCTGCCCAAGCTGCAATCTATCTTAATTATTTCTATCAATCGCTGTCATTATTTCGATGCCTACAAATCCCGCTTCACTCTTGATGGGAGGGAGCATTCAGAATGCCAAACGTAATACTTGCGATGCTGTGGAATGAAGACGCCTTGGCATTCTATCTAACAGTAGAGCTTGGCTGACAGATAAACTGAAATGTGTTGTATATATTTTATAGCCATAATCTGAAGCAAAAATCTTTAAATGGAGCTTCAAGCTTTGCCTCTTCTGTCTATCTACTAATTTGCTGTCTGCATTGTATACAAATTAATCACTCTAATGATTTAACAGAATTTAATGTTTTATCTGAAATAAATCTCTCTAAAAAAATCTAGAAACAATATTATGGGAAATTTTAAATGGGAATTTAGTTATTGCAAAGCTATTCATCTACACAAACAAAAAAAAAAAAAAAAAAAAAAAAAAAAAAAAAAAAAAAAAAAAAAAAAAA